TCATATGCTTATTTCCCAATAGTTATATTTTTTACTAAATAATATTTTATTGTTACCTGAAGACAATTATGGACACCTTCCACTTATCATTTTCCAACTCAGCTTACTATCTAAACCTAGCAAATTGCTAAAAAAATATAGACTACTGGAATAGTTTTGAAATATCAACAAACAATATAGAAGATAATCATGAAACAATAATGTAATACAAAAATTCACAATTCAATAAATAAATACAACCAAAATTAGATACTCCGAAATTCCTAATAAACAAAATTAAGATTCATAAACATCTCACCAACGAAGAAAACTGAGGACAAATTCCCCTCATGACAAACACTCAAAAATTGGTGATGAACAGTCATTTAGTCATGAAAAATCCAAGAATACACAGATGCCAACTAAAAAACATTAATGTAAAGCATGGAAGCATAACAATATCAGAAAAAGGGTCATACAATTGCAAGTCGCAAAAAAGCAAGTTTTGAGCAAACAAAACTACATGAACATGGCAGATATGCCTCATCAAAGATATGCCTTGTCAAAGACTCCTGTTCAAGAGAAAACCCAAGACATACAAATCTGAGACACAAAATAGAGTCACCCCCAACCAACATCATGCTACCCAATAACTGACAAAACACTACCAGAATCAGACAAAAAATAAAGCTTGTAAGCTACCAAATAATATTATATAAACTTCTTAGTAGAAGTATAATTACCAACACATCGAACATTAAAATTTTTCTTACAAACAATCATGAATTAAATCAATGGATACAATGTCAATTCATGGATGAACCAACTTGAAAGAACAATGTATCTGGCCAGCTTACCAACGCCAGCCACCATCACCATTGGAAGCTCAAAACATGCAACTTGCCACCTACATGATTCATACACAACCATATCAAAAACCTTGATCTGATAACTTATGACAAAATCTGAGTACTAGTCCACAATAATTTTTGGTACAACCAATTTGCGTAATAGATACAACATCCCATTGCACCATGTTTTCAACCAAAAACAGAACTTCCAAAGTTCTTTGGAACATACAAATATGTAGGCACAGGAAAATAAAACAAAATCCATCCATAAATTGCAGAACATCACCGGTAATAGCTACTGAGACTTGCGAATCAACTAAAGAATCATTTTCCAACCTTCTCAATGCCCTAATCTCAATCAAAAGTCATCTTCCAATCTTTTCAATTTGCTAATCTCAATCCAAATGCACCACCCCCTTTCAACCAAACACAACCTTCCAGAGTTCTTTGAACCATATAAACATGTACACACAGGAAAAGAACAAAATCGAACCAAAACTTGCAAACATCATGGGCAATAGCAACAGGTACTAGTGGATCAATTCAAATGTCAGTTCCAAGCTTTTCAATCTAATGTTAATCCTGGGAAAACCAGTTAAAGCCAATAAAATCTTTCCCATGAATTTCTGTTTAATCATGCTAGGCTTTCCGTAGATGTTCCAACTACATTGTTCACATCACCTGTAACAAAACATAAGCAAATCATTCAATGTGGGCACAGGAAAATAAAACAAAATCCAACAATGAATTGCAAAACATCACAGGCAACAGCAACAGACACAAGCGAAAGACACAAGCGAATCAACTCAAAAGTCATTTTCCAACCTTTTCAGTGTCCTAATCGAACCTTCCACATTTCTTTAAATCATATAAACATGTACAAACTGGAAATTACTACAAAATCAAAACTTGCCAACAACATGGGCAACAACAATGGGGACTAGCGGATCAACTCAAAAGTCAATTCCAAGCTTTTCAATCTACTTAATCATGGGTCTTTCCTATGAATTTCCATTAACATTGATTATGCTAGGCTTTATGTAGATGTTCCAACCAAGGTTCGCAATACCGTACCGTACCGACATTTCGACGTTCGCTCGATACAGTACGAAACGGTATACCGAGCGATATATATATATATATTTTTATTATTATTTATTTATTTATTTAAAAGGCGACGTCGCCTCGCCTCGACGACATCACCTTTTCCTTCCCCTCACCTTTTTCAAAAATATTTATATATAAATATAAATATATATTATTTTATTATTATTTTTCGTTCCGCCCGATAGCGAGCGGTCCGCGTACCTGTATGCCGTCAGACTGGTACGTACCACCCGTACCGGGCGGTATCATTCGGTATTGCCTATCTTGGTTCCAACTACAGTGAAGAAATTAATAATTAACTTTCAAACAGTAATTAGCTTTGCAAAAGGAAGTCGATCTTTTCATGTCTGCAATCCAATGAAGAAAACAATGACTATTATACAATGAAGAAATCAATAGTTAGCTTACAAACATTTTGCAATCTTGGTTCCTGGCATCATATATCTTTGCTTCATCATAGAACTCATTCAAGTCTCCAAATTCAGAATACTGGAATAAAAGAACCAACCAAAATTGTTTATTCTGTTGATATAAGAGAAAAGATGCACCTCGCCCTTAAAAATCTTCTTTTTCCCAAACACATTTGAAATACAACACATATAAGCAAAGAAATTATAAACTTATATACTCATTCAAAGCCATATAAGCCCATAATGCATCAAACACAGGAAACAACAGTAGTTCTTGACATTGTATGGTTATTAAAACCAAAATATACACCAAAATAGGAGTAAGCAAATTTTTTTATCTACCCAAACAAAAGAAAGTACACCGGGAGAACTAAAGAGACATCCAACCCCATCACTGGATTAATCAAATGACAAGTCAAAATCCATCAGAAGAAAAAATCCACCAACATGCCAACATGCAATGACCAGTAACTAATAAAAAAACAAAGCTAGAACATCAATGATTGAAGTGAAAAGGTGGAGCTGCAAGTCGTAGCTTATCCATCTTTGAAGGTTAATTAGCAACAAAATTCTTAAGCTCTCATAATAAAGAATCTCAGTTATAATCATTATAACTTGATAGGAACTTGCCTTCGCGCCCGATACCTGGTGGGCAATTGTTTACGGACTTGTATTTGTTCAATCAACCTTCTAAAGTCCTTGTTTCCTCTTTCCTCTCTTTTCTCTCTTGCACTCAAGGTGCTCACTGAATTGCTTGTAAAGCTTCCCTCTTCGTAAAATAAAAAGACTTGTCCTTAGCTCATTTTTAAACTAATTAACTTCTGTTTTACAGGTCTTTCGAGACCTACACAAGGTTACAACTAGGTTGACCCTTTACGGATGCATATATCGTAATGGCACCTCATGACTTAGGAAATCTCAACTAAGTTTAAGAAGTTGACGTAAGGGTGCTTCACGACTTAGGCAACTTCAGCTAAGTCCGTGACAATTGCTGCAATGGTGTCTCACGACTTAAGCAATTCTAGCTAAGTCTGTGACATTTTGATATCATAAACTCCCTAAGACCTAATGTTGATCACAATAGAACTAAGTATATTGTCTACACATACTATCAAAAACAACATGCAAATAATGAATTTTTTTGGGCACATTCCAGAAGATATCTCCGTCAAGAGTACAGGTAGAACTTCTATTCTCTTCATCATGCAAACCAAAACAACAATCTTGTAAACTTGTTTGTATCAGCTATGGTTGAAGAATCTTCATAAAGGAAATATATTCAATTAGCAATTGGGTTCCCACAAGAATATTCCTTGATGAAAATTGGACTCCTTTGTTTACAATATGAAGGCTCCATGCTGAAGAGAAACCCATCTTTCTTAACATGAAACCCAGCTCCCAAAACAAGCTTCAAGTAGACAAACATCACATAAAATGAGCAGCAAAAAGTACATCAGCCTGAGAAGATAACTTACTTCTCATAAAAATCAGCAATATAAAATGAATTTCAAGGAAAAACAAGAGAACACAGCATGTCTGTACCTCCCTCCAACTTGATACAAGAAAAAAGTAACAATGCATCTTAAAACCCACTTGTTTTTGAAGCCATCAATTGTGCCATTGAATTGATTCAAAAATCGATATAACAATCAAGTACAATTATCATAACCCAAGATCACCAACAAAGACACCTTAATAGCACAAGTACCTGTACGTAAAATCATTACCACGTCCTAGCTTCCACACAAGATAAAGGAAACATGATTCAAAAGAGAAATGGAAGTTAATTAAAAGGAAGAGAAACGCAGCAGAGAACTTTTATAAGCCAGAGGATCAAAAAGTCAGTGAAAATAATGACCTTTCAAATGTAACAACTTTGCACTGTTGGACTGCATTTTGGCAATAAATGAACAGCAATGACGCCAATGGAAAC